AAATAGAAAATTATATTTCTTTTTGCAGATACCTGAACTGCCGGAGGACTTCTAGTACCAGTAACAATAAAATGTGCTGTTTTATCTACGTGTCCGCATAATAAACCTTCTCCTTTTGCACGGGCTTGTCCAGCTGCATCAACTGTACATATTAATGGACTATCTGGTACAGGACATCCACCTTAATAGAAAAATATAACTAAAGTATTTTTGAAACAAATTAAAAACTTTCAAAAGATATATGTAGATATTGGCCTTACCATATGTAATATTAATCATGTATGTACCAGGTACACTAGGAGAAAATTCAACCATCTCAGCACCGTCGTTAAGTGGAGTAACTTGTAATGGAAGCTCTTGACCTAGCGGACTTGTTGCTACTACATCTAAATCTGCCATTCCAGCGTCTGTTTTTATTACTGTAATAATTTATAATTATAAGAAAAATATTGTTTTCAGTTCGTGAAGCAAAATATTTGTAATTTTGTTATTTAAAAATACGTACTTTTAAAGGCAATATGATCGTGTATAGATACTGTCATTGGCCCTAGCTCTTGCAGTTTTATTTTGGAAACATCGAAAGCTTGACAGAAGAAAGGTGAACCCAGAACTGGTTTTGTACCTTGTAAGACGTCAATTTTATATGTTCCTGATAAAATCAAAATATTTTAATTATGAGATACGGCAATATTAGCAATAATATCCTTTATATTTTCAAATTACGTACCTACGGTATTTGTGGTGAACTCTGCAAGTAAATTTCCATCTCGATGTTGATAACACCTAACTGGAACTGCATTACCTTGCGGTCCACTGATCACTACATCAAATTCTTTTCCAGAGCTTCCTAAAGTTTCAATAGTAAATGAGGTCACTTTTCCAACGCATGATTGGTACAATCCTAATCCTGTCGCAGTTACTTCTCTTCCTCCAGTAGGACTGCGAACTGTCACATCTAATGGGCTTCCTAAAAGAAATAATGTAAATAAATTAAAACAAAATTAAGGTAATAATTATACAAACAAGCATTAGATATTATACCTAATATATGAATTTCATTATATTTTATGTGGATTTTGTGAGGAGCTGCTCGTGTAGGATGAAACATTATGTCATATTGACCATTTTCTCCTTCTCGGACTACGCTATCAACATCAGCTCCAGCGGCACGTACATTTACGGTCAATTTTCCAGGTCCAGCTTCTTTTGATGCGATAACTTGAGAATTTTATAGAATTATTCGGAATATTTTACGAATATTTTGATATAAAATTATATTTTATATATGTTATACCTGTAATGGTTCCTGGTCGATGACAAACTACATCTGACACTTCTTTAATTATCACTTTTCCAGGATCGAAAGCTTGAAGTGTCTGAGAACTGATGATCTTATGACCGTCACTGAATATTACACTGTAAGTGCCGACCTGTCGCGTTCGAATTTCGACTCGATATAGGTTGGATGATAATTTCGTCAATGTACATGGAATAATTATACCATCAGGCCCTATATCACAATTGAATTATAAAGTTAAAAGATGTATTATGCAACAATAGTAATACATAAAACATTTACCTGTAACCTCTGCAGATACAGGCCCTTCTAATCCTGGCATTTCTAAGTCCATGTATGCTGTATTCCCAACACGAATCATAGACGGCCCATCTAACATTGTACTAATCACTGGACATTTGAATGGACTTCCTATTAGATCACGTATAATGTTACTGATTTTTTACGAATGTTAATCAAGATTTGATAAAAAGAAAAAGATATTAAATTATAAACCTGGCACATTGTCATCATTGAAACTAATATTAACGTAATGAGTACTAGTAGTTTGTGGAACAAATGTTACATCGTATAATCCACGAGCACAGGCAACTACTTCGGCCTTAACTGTATTATTTTCCGTGCTCACTACCAATTCTAAAGTACCCTCACCAGCTTCTGCTGCATCAACAGTAAATGTTGTTGCTTGACCTAATAACGCTTCTGAGAGACCTGACACGTGTACCTGCATTAATTTTTAATTAAATGATTATAATTTTTAAACAAAACGATATTTTCTAACAACTGAAATAAATTACCTTTGTAACGTCATAAATATTGCAAGCAAATGGAGAGCCTTTCACATGCTCACTGTCCACTAATATGCTGATATTATGTCTACCCACTTCCATAGGCACAAAGCTGATATTATATTTTCCATCTACAGGTTCTATCGTGATGGGAAGTGATATGTTCGATGGAGGTGTTACAATTACGTCACAATTTGCTGAAGGAGCTTGTGGATCTACAATAAAGGATATTAATTGCTTTACAGCTCCCATTTTTAAATTGTGACCTGTAATTACAGCTTGACCTGCACCAACTACTTTACAGCTGAACGGTGAACCTAAACATAAAAATTTTTATTTGAGTCACTCACACAATATGTGATTATTATATTATATTATGTTATATTGTATTATATCATAGATTCGTTATATACCTGGAACAGGTTCTCCATTAAAGCGAACGCTAAGACTATGTACAGCAGCTTCTTGCGGTTTGAAATTAACTCTGAACTTTGCATTTCCTTCGCTTTGTACGTAATTCGGCACATTTTTACCATTTACAGCAACAATAATTTCAAGATTACCAGCACCCGCTTGACTAGCATTGACTAAAATTAAACACGAGCGGATGTAATAAATATTTGAAACGTATAATGAGTAAGAAAATGTCATGCTTACTGCTAAAGAAGACCGGTTTACCAACGACACCACTATTTATGTCTGTTACTTTTACTTTATCAGCATTGTAAGCTTTTACTAAAAATGGACTACCTTCTACGTGCAATCCGTTTATTTTTACTTCAACGCTGTGATCACCTATAAATTGTACATATGTTTTTTATAAATATCTTTTTTATTGCCACTGTTTCTTATTCATTCACATACCAACATCTTTAGGTGTAAATCCTGCAGTATAACATCCATGGCCACTTTGCTTGACATGGATTGGTAAACTTTCTCTAGTTGGTGAGAGAACTTCCACAGTAGGAGTTCCTAAT